CCATTTGGACGAGGAATATTCCCATAGGATTTCAGCTTTCTACCTTCTCAGATCCCCAAGCTATCAACTTACCCGTAAAAAACTTTGACAGGCTCTCACGTGGGTACAGCGCTTACTCAGGGGCTAGGTTTGAGCACAATGAGACTTTACATGGACGGCAATCAGCTCCTTAAAACTTCATCTTTCTAGCTTTCCTGGTTCTCGAGTTAGCGACTTACCCGCAAAAAATTTTTATGGGCTCGTACGTGGGTACCACGCGGGTGAGACTACCCATTTTGGGGATGGAGCTCATACATGCATGTAGATCAAGTTCCGGAAGTTTCAGCCCTGTAGTTTTTATAGGTCTCGAGATGAAAAATCGGTACAAACGCCCAGCGGAAACAAAGACATAGAAACATGCACAGAAGGCCTCTCGTCAGTATGCGTTTTCTGCATTGCATAGCTGCAAAAAACGCATAAAAATTATCCTTTTAACTTTTTTGCTTTTTTTTAAATTTATCACAGAATTCTGAGTCAAATGCAAAAAATTGTGAAAATTGCAGGATGCAAGTTTATTTTTCGACACTCCGCTTACGGGACTGCAGTGTGCCGGTGATCTTGCAAGGAACAAGTATACTTTGTTGACTTGTGAAATGATTGCTTTACGCGGGCGAAAAGTTTGCGCCGAGGAATATGCACGACTTTCACCGGCTGGTGAGTTCGTTTATGTAAATTTTACAAAAAACTGATAGAACTTAATTATTGTTGGATGACGGTTACACCTGGGCACTGTCTGGGGTTCACCTTTCCTAATAGTAAACAGATTTATTGATTGCGATTTTCTGAGATTCGTTGTTTAGTTTCAATGATAAATTGTTTTTTGTGCGTGAAAAGATTCACGTTATTTTCATGATATTTTATGTTATTTCATTTCATGATTTTCATGTTATTTCATTTTTCATGTTATTTCATGTTTTCATGTTATGTCATGTTATTTCATGACTTTCATGAAAAGATTCATGATAAATTCATGTTATTTTTGGTATAGTGAGCCTTCTTTACTATTGCTAGTGTATGTTTCCTATTATCGAAATGCTCTCATACTGCTTTCGATGCCCCCAAATGAAGTTTTGGCCTTAGATCTCGGCAAAAGTTATGTAGGCCTCTTCCAGCTTATCTGTTTTTTTTTCAGCTTTCAACTTAGTTCAGAAGTTAGGCTTCCGTGAACTAATATTATTCGTATTTCATTCCCGGGGATTACTAATTTATCACCTTCAGCATCCCACCATTAATGATACAATTTGTAGATCGAGTTCGACTACTGAATAAAGTGTTAAATGATATTCGAAAACGCGCTTTATTGCCGGTAACAGGCCAGTACCCGATAGTGGATGCCAGATGTCCTCTTGTGCGTTTCGTTTACAATCGGTAAATTTCAAACTTTCCTAATTATTGCTTTTTTCCCCGGATTTTTTAAATATCGAGATGAACTGCTATTTTTTTTAAAAAAGAGCCATTGATGTTCAACCACTGAAAAAAAAATTTATCTAATATTTATACGTTTCTGCAAACAATCAGACTGCCCACCGGGTGGCGATGTGCTGACGAACAAGCCACGAGGACTGATCGGGCGTGTATTTAGCTGATAATTTAAATTTAGGTATTTTATAGTTATGAAAAAGGTTGTAAAAATTAAAAAATAAATGTAAAAATAAAAATGAAACTGAATTGAAATGTTTCGGTCCATTAATTCGCATACATTCCCATTCAGTGCTGTAACTGGACCTCGTCAGTGGTCGACTGAATAGCGGCGTCCGGTGGGAGCATCCTAGTGAAATTATTGTTATTATAATTGTTATTATTATCACTATCATTACTATTATTATTGTTGTTATTATTATTGTTATTTATTATTATTATCATTATTATTATTACTATTACTATCATTATTGTTATTGCTATTATTATTATCATTATTATTATCATTATTATTATTATTATCATTATTGTTATTGTTATTATTATTGTTATTATTGTTGTTGTTATTATTATTATTATTATTATTATTATATTCTCTTAGTATCGATTGACCAGAAGGTCTTAGTATAAATTTTAATGTGAAAATATGAAATAGTATAAGTGCAGTTTGTTAGTTTCATGCATTGGCAAATTCTCATAGCCCTCCTGATAAACAAGTTTATGCATTAAAGCCGATAAATTGGTCTATGCTATAGGATTTGCGGATATAGTGAGAAAATTTTCAGGAAACGATGGATCGACTTGTCGGTGGACAATCGTTTGGGCTATGCGAAATCCAGTTGGATTAAAAACATTGTACAGTGTGATTCATCATCTTTGATTCGACGATTTCTGGTTGCTTTCCGATTTTGGGCTCATGCAAATGACTTGATGAAAATCGATGAGACAGAGGTATGTGGCATGAAAACATGTCAGTATAAGTTAGGCAGACACTTATAATAATAAGTATGTGTTTTGTAAAAATGTAACATCAGCTCAGGCCGTGTGGGGAATGTAGGATGAACATGACGCATAAAAACGGGAAAATAACACCGACCACCTCCCCAACACTCCCTCCCTCCTTCCTCTCCCCCTCCCTCGCAACGCCGACCCACAGCCCAGTACCACGCACGACCACCCATTCCCCAACCAAACAATCCCACGAGGGAGCAGCGTTAGACCGTCCAGCGGGGGCTGTGCACCACATATATCTCATCGTACCGTACTCATGGAATACCGCTTTGTAATTATGCTGTATAATGCAGCACAATATCACCGCTTTGAGAAAATGGATGTCCAGGGCGGAGGCGGGGGAAGGGGGAGGGGCGGAAAGAGCGAGTGGAGGGGTGGGGCAAGGGCAGGGAAATTTGATGGATTACCTCAAAGTTTGATGCAAAAACGCATGATCGCACTGGCTCACCTGGTGCGTTCCAGCCTGGGTTACTAATTACCGTGTATAATAACTAACTCGCGTAAAATTAATTTCACAGTTTAGCTTTCTAAACTGTGAAATTAATTTTACGCGAGTTAGTTATACCTTATATTATTTTGTTAATATCAATGCCATCAGCTTGCTTCCGAGCAATATTCGTAAGAGGAGACTACAGAAAGCTTTGCCAGCTAATGATTGTTGGCTACTGGGGCTACTTTCGAATATTTCTGCCTTTCATATTAAAAAACGAATTCAGAGGGAATTTGTCTTTGTTGATATGAAGCGCGCCAATTTAAGCGTTTATACTTGATTTTTTATAATTTAATTAAATTAGCACTGGGCCATACGGTACAGCAGGAAAAGTGCATCACATCAAGCACTGTTTTCCCCAAAAAAAAAGGTGAATAATAAAAGGAAGGAAAGAGCAGATAGCTGCAGGCAGAGCAGCCACTGTAAATTATCATCGATAGCGTGTATGAAAATGCCCTACGATTAAGGGACAGTTGTTTGATAGATTAAGTAGTGCTATTACCTCAGACTTTAGAGGAAGTACTGAATAAATAATAAATGACCAGCACACCGACTACCGATGCAAGATGCGTTTTTGCATAGTTCCCGCAGATTTTTGTCGCTAACGGCACTATTTCTTCCGGTAGTTGCCTCTAGCAAAAAGAATTGAAACTGGTCGCCAGGACTGTCAAGAAGCATCCCAAAATTACAGCCTTCTAAATTTTTTAGTTTCCCAAGTTAGTAACTTACCCGCGAAAAACTTTTACAGGGAAGGAATTACGCATATCCGGGGGCTGGGTTTGGGTTCATTAATACCTACTTGGACGGAGAACATCCCTTTAAAATTCCAGTCTTCTAGCTTTTCAGGTTCCTGAGTTAGCATCTTACCCGAAAAAGACTTTTAGGGGGCCATACGTGGGTACCACACGGATATGAGCGCCCATTTGGGGGGTTAGGGCCCGTACACGTATGCAGATTAAGTTCCAAAAGTTTCAGCCCTATGGCTTTTATATGTTCTTGAGACGAAAAATCGGTACAGACTTACACACAGCCCCTCGTCAGTATGTGTTTTCTGCATTGTATAGGCGCAAAAAACGAAAAAAGATACATACGCTTGCATGCTATAATGACCATCACTTACTTAAAAAAATGCGTGAAAAGTTAATCATACAGGAGTTGATGTAGGTCAGATGCATTGATGCTTGAAACCATCTTGAAAAAAGGTCTTTACATTTACGATTATGAGATATTTTTGTATATCTTCCTACTAGAAATAACGAAATAAGAACTTCATCTCTTTATTTTTAAAAAAATTCAGCTAGCTCATGCTCAGAGCATTGAGATATCCTGCATTTCCTACGTGGAATCAGCATCTGAACTGTACTTGATTGTTTTTTGCAGTGTAATTTATCAAATTTTTGTGATTTTTTTGACTTTCAGAGATCACATTTTAACGCATATATACTGAATCTGTTGTGTATCACATATCTGCAGCTGCAAAACCATCTTCCTCCGCTTCAGCACACCTCACAAGAATTATTAGCCGATGGTTGGCGGATCGATTTTGTCGTCGAAAGCGTTGATTTATCAAATATTTCACTTAGCAAACTCTTCAGGGTTGGTAAAACTTTTTGATTGCTCTGACTTACCTACTATTTCTCAGAATCTTCCTGTTCTGTATTAATGCTTTAAAAGTCTTAATAACACGTTTGTATAGCAGCCCGAGAAGATACCCGCGTTGTTTATCCTTGATACGTGCTTCAAAATTTTTTCTGAGGACGAAGGAGACTTGAAAAGGCGAAGTACAGTAAGCCGCTAATGTTCTTTAGCATTTCATGATATGCAAATTTTTTTTTTCGAATCCAAATTTTTTCAAAAGAAGCACGAATTTTGGACAGGCATAAGGTAAAGGGCTCTGAATTGATTCGGGATTTGTTAAAACGGTAAAAAGTCTGTTTTTTTTTGGCCTTGGCACTGTTAAGTTTCCAAAAATTAGCATATTTTATGCGCACCGGTGTAGCTTATTAGCAAGTTGCACTGTTTTCTTGCTGAAGACTTCTCTGGGTCTCCCGTTAGGATCTCTCCACGAATCGTTTATTCGTTTTGATGGTAAATTGGCTATAATGCTTGTTAAACAATCGGATCCATTATTAAATAA